ACAGTCTAGATCAGCCTGAGTGGCTGTTTCTAATCACAGCTGACCTATGCTGCTTGTTGAGACTTTTTCTTTTAATATCCCATTAATTTAGTAACAGTACTTGATTAAATGCCTAAGGTTATATAACCTTTCAGTAACATTGCTTTATTTATACCTTTATCTTTCATGGAACATTTTTGTACAGATCTTTAAAAATGTACCTATGCCTTTGATGATTAACCACTAACATTGTCACACGCTCTTAAATCTTTGTAGGCTATGATTTTAAAAGTCTTCACAGCAGACGGTCCAAGTGCCTGATTTGGAAGGGCGATAATTGGGACCCTGGTCAGCCCTCTGTGGTGGTTTGAGGGAAGGAGGCTGATGTAGGCGCTTACTTGCCCACTTGCCCAGGGGGGAGGTTAGGATCGCTCAAGGAAAGCCCGCCCTGCTGGGAGCCACAGTCTCCTGCCAGTTTGTAAATAGCCTCGTTCCTAATTTATCTCACTCCTCTTTTCTGAGCCAGTGACCCAGATTCATTGGGCTGTGAGGCCGCGCGCACGGGGTTGCACAGACAGGTCTCCATGTTGCTGTGCCGGAGAAGACAAGGAGAAAAATCATGAGCTGCTTAAAAGTGGGGAAAGATAACAGAAGAACCCTCACACAGTTGCCTCAATTCCAACTAGACCTGTGGTAGTGATGCAAATGCCTAAATGAACCCCAAGATACAGGTAGGTTCACCGGTATTTGGCTTGTGCCACATAACTGCAGTCTGCTTTTCCCACCACTAGATGGCAACCCCGCTTTAAAGCAAATTTTATTCAAACTATAACGCTGTTCAAAATAAAAAGTAACTATTCTCACCCCATCATGTTGGCACAAAAAAGTCCTAAAACTCTTGGGTTAGTGAATGTGTGGGACAGCAGGGAATTTCAGAAAGCACCGGTGCAAGAGTGAGTTGATAGCACTATTTTGGAGGAATTTGGCGGTAATGTTCATGCTGTGCACATTATGTGACCCAGCCACGACACACGGAGATTTGATCATCTGATTATGACGATGACGGCTAACGTTTACTTTGTCCCCACTATGTGCCAGGCCCTGCCCTAAGTGCTTACCTCATTTGCTCCTTACAACTCTCCCGTCCCCGCCCCCTCCCCCCCCAACTTACCAAGGAGGAATCCAGGCACACAAAGGTCAAGCACCTTGATCGAGGTTACAGAGCTATTAAGCGGCAGAGCCCCAACCTTCGACCTGCTTCCACTACACTGCACGTGCCTCGCGTGCACCCGGAAACACACACCACACACATATAGGAGGGGATCCATCGCAGCAGTGTCTGTTAGCCTAAACAGTGCATTAGGAGACAATAAATCACGAGGGAATGCTGCAGAGCTGTTAAAGCCACGCACTAAACCTAGAAGCGGTCAACCGGGTACGCATGTCAAAATCAAATACTGAGATAAAGTAAGCAAAAATCAAAACGAGGAAGCAAAACTGTGTATTATTCATTGAGACCAACAAGGGGAGTGAAACTACAAAAGGACACACCGGAAAGGTATATACCAAATTTACGATGGTGTCTCAGGGGCAAGGTTAAATGGGATTTGGGGAACAAAAAGACAAGGGCTTTTAAAGTCATCTGTAATGCTCTGTTATTTTCTCTCTAACCTACCTGTCTCTTGAGCAAAGAGGCAAAAGCTCAAAGCCTAGCCTGATCCAGAATATCATTTTTTATGACTGGATCTTTACAAATGCAATCCTCAAGCCTGATAACTGCTGTTGTCAAGCCACCACACAAACCTTTTCGTCCATCAGGGACATCTCCCCAGAGAGCTTTTCTCAAGCTCCCTTCTAGAGTAGAAATCACCTAAGAGGTTCCGAAGGTGAGACTTCCAGCGGCAGCAGCATATGGTTTTTGCTTAAGGTGCAGGACTCTGAGGCTGGAAAGAGGGGAGGGAAGAGGGAGACAGGGAGAGTCAGTTCTAACTTGTACTTAGTGATTAAGACAGCGGTTCTCTTTAGGGCACCAGCTCCAAACAACTTGTTTCTTTTATTTAAAAAAATTTTTTTTTCTTTAAGTTTATTTTGAGAGTGTGTGTGCATGCAAGCGGGGGAGGGGCAGCGAGGGAGAGAGAGAAGAGGAGAGAGAGAGAGAGAGAGAGAGAGAGAGAGAGAGAATGAATCCCAAGCAAGCTCCTTGCTGTCAGTGCAAAGCCCTTCATGGGTCCCATCTCCGGAACCATGAGATCACCACCTGAGCCGAAACCAAGAGTCGGGCGCTCCACCAACTGAGCCACCCAAGCGCCCCTGAAGTGTTTCTTTTAAAGTTCGAACTATTTCCTTGCTTCACTGTTTCTTGTGGGGGGGGGGGGGGGGGCCAGAGGGCAGGTTATAATCAAATGTTTAATTGCTCAGGTGGAAAGACACAGTGATTCCAACAAATTACCTCCCTCCAACTCCATTTAAAGCCAGTAGGCAAACTGGTTACCTAGAAACACAATGACTTACAACTAACCCTCTTCCTGTATTTACCAGAGTCAACACATATGAAACCACAGGTCATAATGTTGACAAGTTTTCCTAGAACTATAATAGGTTTATAGAGGTTAATGCTCTCAGATTAAACAGGGATAATGGCTCCGAGCAAGAGGCCAGGTCTGGGGGTGGGGACGGGGAGGGCAGAAGGCATAATTTTAGAAAGATTTGAAAATTGGTTTCTAGTGCCAGCATGGACCTTTTGTCAGCAGCTGAGTGCACTAAGAATGTAAATTATGGAGGAGAAGGCTATGTGGGTAGCTTTGAACCTAATGGATTGTCTCAAAGCCGAAGACTGTAATACTGTGTCCTGTACTGTAAGGAAGCCTCCTCACAAAAGCAATTTATACCTCCTTTTAAAAATATTTTAAGCATCCTCAATCAGAGAATCCCTCATCACAAATCTTGTTTCATTTCACTGGAGTTAAATATGCCATATCACTTAGGGGAACAAGTGGTATCCACAGTTCAGTAACATACATAGTAATTTTTTTTTTAAAGTTTATTTATTTTGAGAGAGAGAGAGCATGCGCGGGTAGCGGAGGGGCAGAGAGAGGGGGAGAGAATCCCAAGCAAGGCTCCACTCTGTTAAGTGCGGAGCCTAACGCTGGACTCAAAGTCACAAACGGTGAAATCATGACCTGAGCCAAAATCGAGTTGGGTGTATAACCGACTGAGCCACCCAGGTGCCCCCATAGATGGTAATTCTTGAAAAATTATCTAGTTAAGAAATGCAGATTTGGCTTTCTCCTCCTATGTGTTAGCGGGGAAAACAACTTTTCATTGACATTTCCCTCTCAAGAGGACCGCGACTTCTTGAAGTAGTGACATCTGAGGAATATTAGGATTGTAGTGAGGAACTGGTGTGTCCCTGGGTCTTTCAGGGAAGCCTGCCCAGGGATCAACCTTCATTGTTCTCATAGAACCGTCTGCCTGGTCAGACTCTGAGTCTTTCATGGAACTCTTCGTGCCATTAGCTCGGGAGATTCTTGATGCAAAGTGACAGGTCCAAGGTGCATTTATAGTAACCCAAGAGAACTGTATTAAAATGAAGTCTTGCTGGGCCCTGGTCTCACAGTGTGGCAAAATCTGTTACAACTTTTAATTATCTCACTTGATTTTTCATTTTGGAAATGACAGGCTACATGAATATCTGCTGCTTGGAAAGAATGCAGAGGTGTATATACGAGTCAGTGAAAGGTCTCCCTCAACCCTCCTCTCTCCTACCTGAACCTTACTTTCCTTGCCAGGTGACCATGGTGGACAGCACCTCCTTCTTGTGTGCACTTACAGAGAACACATACCAAAGCTACTGAGCCAGTAGCAAACATGTGAATTCTGGGTGCGCCCGGGTGACTCAAGTCAGTTAAGCGTCCAACCCTTGACTTCGGCTCAGGTCATGATCTTGCAGTTTGTGAGTTCGGGCCCTGGCTCTGCGCTGACAGTGCGGAGCCTGCTTGGGATTCCCTCTCTCCTCTCTCTACCCCTTTCGTGCTCTCTCAAAATAAATAATTAAACCTAAAAAAAATTGTGATTTCTGAACTTCTAAAACCAAATCTAAACAATTTCCAGGTTTATGAAATTACTCTAGAAACACACAAATCTAAATAAAAAGAAACAGAAACAAAAGCTTCATTACTTTACTCACATCTTGTATTTTATTTCTTACAATTAACAGCTAAGAAAAAAGTGATTTTGGCACCCTATTATTTTAAGACCACAGCTGTCACTCAAATGCTAACCCATCCCATAAAACAGGGAACCTTCCCCCAAAGCTACACTGGCCATTTATTCAAGTTTCCTGATCCCAGTGACAACTAATAATTTTTATTACTTATCAAACACAGAAAAATTAGATTATTGTTCTCCCTAGCTGAAAAATCTCACAAATGATACTTTTTCTCTGTGCACATGGTTCACTGACTCAAACCAGGATAAAGCTACTAAAATATCTATAGTTACGCATCTCAGACTGGGGTCTGGATACCTGTGGGAGTTATTTAGTGTATGCTAGGGGGGACTGGCAATGATGCTCCATCTTCCCAGAGAGCAATGCTTATTTGAGGCTAAGGACTCACATATTTATTTTCCAAAAAAGTTAAAAGGAAGCTTTTTTTCCCCAAATGAAATATACAGAAAACTTCAGGGGCGCCTGGGTGGCTCAGTCAGTTGAGCGTCCGACTTTGGCTCAGGTCATGATCTCATTGTTCATGGGTTTGAGCCCTGTGTCAGGCTCTGTGCTGACAGCTCAGAGCCTGGAACCTGCTTCAGATTCTGTGTCTCCCTCTCTCTGCCCCTTCCCTGCTCATGCTCTGTCTCTGTCTTAAAAATAAATTAAAAAAAAAAAAAAAAAAAAAAAAGAAAATAAAACTTCAATATATAAAACCAGTTTTAGGAGGCTGCACTGGCAGTAGGAGTTGGCTGATGCAAGTTCCCCCTACCCCACACATAGCCTGGGGGCGTGTGGCCCCTTCCCTCCCAGGGTACCCTGAGGGAACTTCTTGCACACCAAGCCTCACCCTCTCCAATCTCAATTCAAAGACTGGGCATCCTCCTTGGGATAACAGAAAGTTTGCTGGGGGAGTCCAAGGGACACCAATGCTGTGTGAGTCCTGCTTGCCCTTTTCCAGGTAAGTGACAGACCTTACTTCCTTGTGCTTTTTTTTTTATATGCTCAAGTCCAACCTTTAAAATCTAAACTCTTCTGGCTTTTCAATCTTTTTGGCTGTACTACATTTCAACAAATACTTCCACTTGTATAATGAAGCTCTTAGATCCTGTCACATCTCTACAGTAAATAACAATATATCTTCCCAAACTGTGAGGAACTACTCAATGTTCCCAAACAGTGTCCTATCCTCTAATCTGGTTTCTGAATATTCTGGTTCTTTTCCTTCTTCGTATATTCTTCTAGTCGAAGAAGCCACTTGGCCCAGTACTGGGAACAGAGCTCAGTGTCCATGAAATGGGGGTGAGCAGGGGATCCATCCTTGTAGGCAACCACAATTAAGCCACACTGAACCTAGGAAGAAACACAGGGCAGTTCCAGTATTTATACGGTAGGGCCAGAGTTGATGTTCATTTCCGTCTTGCTTCAGGGCAAACTCAGAACAAAACAATCTACAATAATACAATATACAATAATACCTCCTAACGGTTTTTGATGAAAGATTGTATCAGGATACATAAGAACACAAAGATGACAAATAAGATATCCAAGAATGGACTGTAAACACTAAAGCACTATTAGCAATGACAGAAAACTCAGGAACAGAGGGAAGTGCTTCTTAAGGTGGTAAAAGGACAAGGAATGGAGTAAACAGTGGGACACAAACAGAATAAAAATCATAAGGAGTTAAATGGCCATACATAAGCATTGACCAAGGCTTTACATAAGCAGAGGTGCAGTGTCCTGACCTGAAAGCTGTAGTTGGCATCATTATTTATGGCACCAACATAGGCCACAACCTGCAGCGGGTTGTCAAACGTATTTCGGATATAAGGTTTTGGTTTCTCCGATGTCTTCCAATCAATCACACACAGCTTGCCCCTAAAGAGAAACCAAAGGAAGTCTTAGTAGGTAACCGTCCAAACTGAGAAACCCTAATAGGTTAAGCCTTTTCTCAGGTATAGTTTATTATCACTCAATGACCTCTCCCCACTTTTCTTTAAAAAAAAATTTTTTTTTCTTTAATGTTTACTTATTTTGAAAGAGAGAGGGAGGCAGAGGCAGAGAGTGAGAGGCTCCCAAGCAGGCTCCGCGCTGTCAGCACAGAGCCTGACACGGGGCTTGAACTCAGGAACCGTGAGATCATGACCTGAGTGAGTCAAGATCAAGAGTCGGATGCTTAACTGACTGAGCCACCCAGGCACCCCTTTCTCCACTTTTCAAAAAGACAGCTGCCCTGATCTCTACTTCTGAGGATTAGAGAAGTGTGATGTTCTCTTTCCGATGAGCCCTATACTCAGCTCAGTGACAGGCCTGCCAGGGGTGTGATGGGAAGTGCTTCCTGAAGTACCCGGCTGACAACGACAGGGGCAGGCCCATGTGGAAGTGCTAGGGGACTTTTCCACAGTTCTAGTTTCTAAACTTTCTCGAAATTCCTTTGGACCCTCATGGCTTCCTTTTCTTTAACAGTTGACAGGGGAATTGAAACTATGTCTCTATCACTATCTCAGTTGATGAAGCACAACAGATCAGTAGCAAAGTCCCCATCATAAAGGATGAAGCACAGTGCTTCAGAAATCCTCTTGCTCAGAAACCAAAGCTGGGGCTAAAATCTGTTAGCATTTAATAGGCACCAACTATAAGCAGAGATACAGATAAGAAGACCTGGTCCCTGCCCTGAAAGTTTACACACAGGGCAGGGGGTCTTCCTAGTAGGGATACTGGGGGGTTTCTAAAGAAAGTCAAATAACCAGTGCATTCTCCCCATTACCCCTCTCCTGGTAGGATTTTACACTTGCCAAACGCAGAGATCAGAAGGATCACAGGGACAGTAGACTGAGAACTGGTGACTACTTGTTCAATCTTTCATGACTTCAAGTTTTAAAAAATTTTATTTATTCTGAGAAAGAGAGTGTGCACGAGTGGGGGGGGGGGGGATAGAGACAGAATCCCAAGCAGGCTCTACACTATCAGCACAGAGCCCAATGTGGGGCTCGAACTCACAAACTGTGAGATCATAACCTGAGCCAAAACCAAGAGTCAGCTACTTAACCATCTGAGCCACCCAGGGGCCCTTCATAACTTCAATTTCAAAACCAGCGGTCCAAACGGAGTTGTACAAAGTATGCATGTTACATACCTGTGACCATAGCTCTAGAGTTACAACCTATGCAATGTATTTATAAGTCAGCCTAGAGTAGCACTGTCTAAATGAAATAAAATGCAAGCTACGTGTTATTTCAAATTTTCTAGTAGTTACATCAAAAAAGAAAAAAGGAAACAGGTGAAATTTTAATGTTTTATTTAACCCAACATACCCCAAATTTGATCATTTCATTATGTAATATGAAAAAAATTATTAATGGGATACCATACCTTCTTTTTTGTACTAAGTCACTGAAACCTACTTTGCCCATTTACAGCATACCTCAGCTGAGATTGGCCACACTAAGTATTTAAAGGCTGTATGTACCTAGTGGGTATTCTCTTAGTGCAGGTCTAGAGGTAGTTTTACTATTTCTGTCAAACTTTGTAATATTACAAAACAATTATAATCTATGCAAATGAAGAGAGGGCCCCAGTAACCCCAGAACCTCAGTTCTCAACCTGGAGCAAATCAAAATACCCTAAAATAAAGATTTCTGATATGGACCACTGTCTCTTGCAAAACATACTTCATACTATAACTTGCAGAACTTAATAATGTGGAAAAGATTTTTAGTAGTATAACTCCAAATTAAAACTGAACAAAGACAGTTCATAACAAATGAAAAGATGTTCAGTCTAACCTAAGTGAAATGCAGACTGAAATTATGAGATACGATGTTAATAAATTATATCTAACACTGTGTCATTAAAACTGTGCAGAAATAAGCACACCTTCATCTGGGAAAACTTACAATGCACATACCCTTTAACATAGCAATTTCCTTTTTAGGTACCTGCTGGAGAGAATGGTTTGATACCCTGGGGATAAATGCCTGGGAAAATGTCATAAAAGTGACAAATGCCTGGAAAATTTAAGTATTCATATCCAGGCCTACTTCAGACTAACTGTATATATCATCCACCAGAACAAACCAGCAAATGAACCTGTGCGCCTGCCTAGAGAAACTCTCACAACAGTATACAAGGAGACACGCTCACTGCTGCAGTTCGTGATTGTGAAAAACTAGAAATTACCTGAATTTCCCCAACAGGGAAATGGATGTGGTTCATTAGTAAAAAGGAATACCAAATAAGTTAAAAACAGAGAACAAGATCAAAATAATCATGCTAACAGTTACTGAGTAGATAGTATTCATTTTAAGTACTATACAGAGAATGTCTCATTTAGTCTCTATAACAACTCCATGAGGTAGATCCTATCTTTTGTCTTATTCTATTTTTTTCTTAAGTAGGCTCCATGCTGGGTGTGGAGCCCAACACTGGTCTTGAACACACAACCCTGAGATCAAGACCTGAACTGAGATCAAGAGTTGGACGCTAAACCAACTGAGCCACCCGGCGCCTGTCTTATTTTACAGATGAACAAATTGAAGTACAGAGAGCCTAAGTAACTAGCCTAACGTTAAGATGAAAAGCCAGAAATGAAACCCAGCCAGCCTGGCTCTCGACCCTCGTATCCCAGCTTTGTGATAAGACATATCCAGAAGCTTCTCTGTATTGTGACTATTACAGACATGTATGTAACAATACACAGTGGTGTTTGTATGCAGAGTAGACTGGCAGTGTACCTGTGCATGCATTATACAGTGTTGTGGGTGTGTTAAATAATATAGGAAGTAGCCTAGAAGGACACAGTAGCAAACTTATCACAGTGATTGTCCTTGGCCAGGGGTCTATGAGAGGAGATAAGAGGGTTATAGGTGATGCGAGCTTAATTTATGTTATATTTAAAAAAAATTGGAAGCAGATGTGACGAAGTGTTAATAACTGCTAATTCTGAGTGGTGGAAAATTATTAAAAGAGAAAAGGATGTTGCAGATCATATAAACTCTAATAAGGATCTCTAGAATGTTTTCAGAATGAAAAAAGCAGGGTTTGGCACTGTTAGTAAGTGGGGGTGGGGACCAATGATAGTGCATGCAGTCATAAAAATATCTCAGGATCACAAGAACTTTTAACCAAAGGTTAAAACCAGGATGGAAGAGTAGGACGCACCAGAAATCTGTAGGCCCACCTTGACAACAATTGCAATGGCAGAATCTGTCTGATCCAATTATTGGAAATCCAGAGGCTACTGAAGGCTTGGATGGTAAACTGTGGTTAATTTTGGTCAATTTCAGCTCTTAGCAGCTACCCATCCCCCTCCTCCTCATGAGGCAGGGAGCTGTGCACATGATCCTGGAGCAAGGTGTACATGGCTAGTGGGAATGGGAGGGGACACAAAGGACCCCTTCTCCGTGTTGATGTGTTATCAACACCGACTGCAGTTTCTGTTCACAGAGGTGTAGACAAGAGGAGGGTAGCTATTGTTATTGCAACTCCACCCACTGCTGCAAGCCCCTCTCCTTCCACCTGCCTGACTTCCTGGGGATTTAAAGGGCCAACGCACATTTTTTCCACCCCTTCATTTTTCTTTTTTCCTTTTTGGGAATTAGATGCTAAAGACTACAACATCCAAAAGCAACTGCATATATGCGGAAAATTAAAAAGTGACAGTAACTGTGCATGTCCAGGGAGAGGCACAGGCTCAGAAAAGACCTGAGAAGACCTTAAGTTTATACCTCAGACTGATCCTTAGGAAAGAACCTACAACAACACCACCCCCAATAAAAACAATGAACAAAATCTGGCAAACCCAGGGGTAGAGGGAGAACCTGATTTCCAGAATTACATACTAGATTCAAATGCCCAGTTTTCAATAAAAAAAGTCACAAAGCATACAAAGAAACAGGAAAGTATGGCCCATTCAAAGAGGAAAAAAAGAAATCAACATAAATTGTCTCTGAAAAAGATGTGATAGCAGATCTAGCCAAAGACCTTTTTGGTCTTAAAGATGCTCAAAAACTTCAATAAAGGTAAATACACGGGCAATTATAAAAGCAAGTATTATTCTAACAATGGTTTGTAACTCCACTTTGTTTTCTACAGTTTAAAACAAAAAACTTGAAGCAAGCAGACAAACTTATTCTTCTCAGGTTGGTTGATCATACAAATCTTGATCAACATTTAATGAAACATCAGATAGCATTGGCTCATCATGTTCTTCCACTCTGCTCAAGTGAGGTGTCCCATACAGATCATTAATTTCAACTTGTGTTTTCCAGGCCGGCTGCTGTATCTATCCTCTGAATGTGAAACATCTTCACTCTTATTTTCTATACACATTCTCATCTCCTTCTCTAATTGTTCTTGAGCTCTCTACAGTTCTCCTGTTCATTTTCTTGCATTTCCAACTCCAGCTGAACTATCAGCTATTGCTGCTGAAACATGAGCTCCTTTTACTTAAGTCTCTCCCCCACTTCAGGCTCCATTGGAGCTAGTTCTCATTCATGCTCCAAGCCGGCCATTTTCTTTTGTCTCAGCTGCTCCATGGTTACATTTTCCTTACACCTGTAAATCCCAATACTACATATTGTATTGGATCCACTAGGCAAATTCTTGCCACTTCTACTGGACCCCGAGTTAGACATGTTCCAAGGTACTTTTGATGGTATGTTGACTCCCTCTCTAACTCTTAACCTTAACCCGCCAACCGCACATATATAAAGACAATTTTGTGATATCAACAACTGAAAGGGTTAGGGACAGAGCTGTCAAAGGAGCATAGTCTGTGTATGCCAGTGAAGTTAAATTGGTATAAATTCAAATCAAAGCACTATAACTGGGATGTTAAATGTAATCCCCATGGTAATCAAAAGGAAGATAGCTATAGA